TGCAATTGCTTTATGGCTTGCCCGTCCCGCGTGGTTTCCGCAAGGGCGGCCTCCTTGCAGAAGGGCTGGATGCCCAGCGGTCTGGAGCACCTTGCGCCATGTGGGCTGCGCCAGAGACAGGTTCACGGGCCCAGAGGGTGCTCGGAGCCCCTCGAGGGGTCAGAGGACTTTTGTAGCCCAGCCCAAGGGCTCCCCAGTGGGTGCTCAACTGGGAGGAGAAGGGTTTATTAGCAGACAGTGGAAGGGGGGAGACCTCTCCAAAGCTGGGGCGAGGGGAGCACAAGGACCTGCAACATTGCATTTCAGTCGGGCTCTGTCGTGGCCGGAAGTGATGAAGACTTCGGATTCCAGGGCTTGTCCCGAATCAAGCTCCCCAGGCCACTAGGCAGTGAGGTGCCCGGCCCCTTGCCCAGCTCGCACTCGCGGGTACCAGTTGCCCAGCCCCCAGTCCTCACCACTGGCACCTTGACTTGGTGGGACCTGTGACCCGGCCCTGGGGCCTTGGGTGCCAGGAAGAAACGCTCAGGTTTCAGTTCTAAGAGTTCCTCCAAGGGTTCCCTCCATTTCCCGCCCTTCTGAGCTGCAGATGAATCCTCAGACTCCTCGGACATGGGTGAGGCTGAGAGTAACCAAATATGTGCTTCTTGATAGTTTTTGATCCCTGTCCCATGAACATGGACTTCATGAGGATTCAAAACCAAACCAAAAAACCCAGAGGCCTAGAGTGTGAGGCCATCACTGCAACCTTGGGGTTTGTTTATTTGTTTGTTTTGGATACTCAAGAACTGGACTCATCCCATTTACACCTGACCTTAGTACTTAAAAGCCTTGAAAAATTCTGCCTCTCTTCACTTCCCCACTTTGAAAAAAATCAGTAAGATTGACCTGTCATCAAATATTATCATTTGGTTATCATTTGTTATCCTCAGGGGTGAGCGTTGTTCAATAGCCTTTGACCCACATTCAACCATTAAGATTGGTAATTTCTTGCAAATCCCCAATTGTCGTCTTTTAAAATATGTTTAGAAGGTCCAAACAATAAGCAGAAACCCCCTTACGTATTCACAGTTCATATAACCACCGAATACTTCTTTACGTTGGCTCCAAGATGTATTTCTCCTCCCCCCTCATGCTTTACTCTTTAGAATGTTTTTGGATGGGGAATACAGGAGAAGCAGAAGTTCTTTTATTTCTAATCTCAAATTTTGTAAGTAGTTTCCCCTCATTCCATACCCCTTCCAATATCTATACTTCAATATTTGAAGAAGCTGTTGAGATAAATCAAATAGTGACACGTTGACGGATTTACTTGTGTAAGCAATATGGTTGACATATGGCATTGTTATTTATGAATGACAGCATAAATTGTATTACAAAGTCTATTGCAATAACACTGCAGTTTATTGGAAAGCTGCTTGCCTGTCACCGGTATTCAGCTTCCCTGGCTGTAGTTTGCCTGGGAGCCCAAAGGATAACTGCCCTCAAAATAACTAAACACATTGATGTAAGCCATTGCCTTCTGTTTTGGGGGGTTGGTTTTGTTTTTGTTTTACAGCAGTAGAAACTCTCCCATCAGGAAAGGAGACAAAGTAAAGACAGTTAGTCCTCTCATTTTGCAAAAGCACAACCACTGTCACCCAGAAATGTTGGTTGTTTTTTTTTTTTCTGAGTCCCTAATGACAAATACACAAACATTTGCATCTCTATCACTAAACTGCTGGTGAACATATATTTTATAGAGAGACTTTTTATAAGCCCGGTTACAGAACAGTAAATTTTAACTGTAGAAAGAAGTTCTTTTAGCAGGCTAGAGAGGGCCTTATCCCCTGATACTCCCTGCTTCCACTAAATCTCCCCCTTCTTAAAAATGGTATTTAAAAGTTACAACATTGGCTGAGATTTTCACAATTTCCCCTTCTTTTACATTACAGATTTCCCCTTCTTTTACATTACACTTCTCTAAACCTCGGACAAAGCTCTTTTGTTCTAGATTGGTTTTACAGGGGAGGGGTTCCCCCACCACACATGCGGTCCTTCATGGGTCAGGGGTCGCCTAGCCCAGGAGTGACTGAGAGGCTGAATCAAAGGTGACCTGCAACTTAATATCCTGTTGATGATCTTGTTGAATTTATGAGTGTCTGTGATACAGAGGACAGTGCTGAAATCCTGTGAAATCCACCCCCCCCCGCCTTTTTGGCCCAGTGTATATGGACAGTAGATTCCACATTTTTTCTCCCATCTCTTCTTCATTTCCATCTTTTCCCTTAAGAGGAAAATTAGAAGGTTGAGTGGTATGTTCACCCAATGTTTCTGCTTTCCATATAAAGATGCCTTTTGTTTGCTTGTTTGTTTTTGGCTTCTCCTGGCCAACAAGATATACCCAACAAGCATGTGAGTACCCTGTGTGTGCCTCCTCATTTTTAGACATATGTACACAAAATACTCAGCATACTAAAAAAGAAGCCAATCACCCATTTACAGAGGCCCACAAACCGCAATGAGGTGTTCAGTGAATGACTGCCCGGGTGTTTGATGGGATTTACTGGTGTTCTTGTGTTTTGTTTTGGTGTTTTTTTTTTTTAAGACAATCCGAATTCTCTACTACACTGCCATTCTCTCCACTTGGGGAAAGGGTCGCCAGCCCTGAACTATCCATATACAGCGAGCCTGGAGTCTCGCTGGCCTAACCCTGCGCTGGCCCCAGGACATCTGAAAAGCCCAATTTTGGAAAACTTACAAAGAGGGCAAACATTTGCCCGATGGAGATGGTTGGGGGTCCCCGGGTTCTGACACCAACACGGCGGGCCCTTCTAGAAACCTGTTGAAAAAACTAAATTCCACTCGCAGGGCGCGGAAGTCGACCGGCTCTTTTTCCTTCTGCCAAGGACCTCAGAGGTACTTTGGTTGCAATAACTCTGAAAGCCTTTGTAGGTCTCTTTCTTTCTTTTTTCTTTCTCACTCTCTCTGTCCCTTGCTTTCTTGATCTCTCTTCCCCCTTTCCTTCCCTTAAAAAAAAAAAAACAAAACAAAACACAAACACCTGTATCTTGAAGCGAAGGGGTTTTGCGGTTTGTGGAGAAATAAAGCACTTCTAAGAGGAGACGGCGACGTGACTTTGAACTTGGCTCAGCTCCTGCGTGTCCTGCAGAGAGAGGTGAACTGGAGCCGGGAACGAAGAACCAGGAGCGCCCAGGCCGCGGGGTCCCCGGTGGGGATCCCACCGCCCGGCCGCGCGGCCCCCGGACCCTGGGCCCGCGAGCGCCCAGCGGCTTCGGCCCGAAACGGGCCCTGCGAAGGGGGAATCCAAGCGAAAGGAGAGAACGGGGCTGGGAGGAGGGGGCAGAGGAGGGCGCGGGGGCGAGCCCGTAGGAAGGAAGGAAAACTTGGAGAAGTCTGATGGTTTGGAAGAAGGAAGAAGAGTGAGGTTTGCGGACGTGCAGGATTGCTATTCTCAGGACCAGTATTTCTAAGAAAATATTTTCTTTGGGAAATACTTTCGGGGTAAGCTTTGCCAATTCTTCTCCCCCCTCCCACCCCCCACACAAATTGATGAATACGGGAAACAAGTGTGAAAGGCTGTGCATTGGGCAGATTCACTGCAGCAGGGCAGCCTTTCTGCCTGGCGTATTTCTGTCTCTCTCCCTGGTCCCCCTCTGCCTCGAGGGGCAGTTTGGCATTTGCTTTCCCCTCCCTCCTAACAGAGAGAGAGGTGTGCGCAGAGGAGGAACAGTTCCTTCTTTCAGAAAAGTCGAGAAGCCCCAGCTTCCGAGCAAAATCCCGGGCTTTCAGACAAGATGCCCGGGCCTCCCTCCTCCTTGCCCCCAGCCCCGGGGCAGGGGCAGGGACGGCGGGCAGCGGGAGGGCACCGGGCCCCTTGTGCGCGGGGCTGCGGTCAGCTAGGACCTTTAGGGACCTGCTCAAGCCGGCAGAGGCTGCGTTGTGCGAGCGCAAGGGCCCGGTTCTGCCTGCTGGAGTTCTCTTCCCGCGTTTTTTTTAAATTTTTGTGGCTTTAATTTCAACTTGATATTTTGAAATGCGTGTTGATTATTTTCTCTTCCTTGAATTTTATTTTAACTCCCAGAGTTTTTTTTTTTTTTTTTAAGCAGTTCTCTTTGCTAGCTAGGCGAAGAAAGGCGCTGGCCTCAGGCCTTCCATTCGCACCTCCGCAGCCTCCGGGGCCCGTCGCTTCCTCTCCGGTTACCTCCAGAGCGCAAGCTTTCGGCGGCGGAACGGGAAACGTCCTCAGCGGCCAACCGAGGACCTGGGACCCAGGGAGCAGCCTCGGGGCCCGCCATCGCCTAGAGCGGAGGGCGCGGGTGGAGGGGTTCCTCGCTTCTGAAGAAGGATGGATTGATAAATATCTTCTAGGTTTGAGCCCTACCAGTCTGGAGCTCTTTTCGGAGGCTCTGGTGAGCCTGACCCTCGGCCGAACTCCAGCCTGAGCCTCGCTTGGCCGGGCGCCTCCGGGGTCCCCACACCTCCCACCCAACAGTGGCAGAGGCCCGGGCTTCTGGGCACCCACCCCCAGGGTGACACTGTCTTTAAACCGCTTCCAAACAACCCCCTCCCTCGTGGGGGCCGCTGCACAGTGTTTATAGCCGTAATCAGAGCGGGACGCGAGCGGCGGGGGGAGTGGAGTGCTCCGAGCGCCGGGTGGGGGCCGCGGCCGGGGAGGGGGCGGCGTCTGGGTGAGTGTCCAGAAGGGTGAGAGGGAAGGGCACGTCTGTTTTTCTCTAGCCGCCCCCCCGCCACCCATCCTGCACCTGTGTGTTCACTACCCCAGGACAAGTCGACAAAAGTGTGTGTTGGGGAGGTGGGCGCGGACCAGGAGCGTGCCAACACGTCCGGAGATCTGCCCCTGGGCCGCGCGCCCTCCCGGCGGGGCACCGGGGCTGTAGCCTCCTGGCGCACAGAACCTCCCACCTCGCGGGCCCGGTCGCTACCCGCGTTCTCGAGCAACCAGGAGTGCCCGCTTTCGGTCCCCGGAGAAATGGTGGCCTCTACGGGAGGGCGTGGGCATAGAGTGCCCAACCAAGGGCGCTGTGACCCCACCCCACCCCGGCTCCCCGCGGCCCAGGCCCTCCCTCGGCCGGCCGGCGGGCTCCGGGGACCGCCTCAGCCCGCAGGACGAGGAGCCGTCGCGCCCAGGCGCACGGGGGCGCGGAGCGAGAGGCCGGCCGACCCGGCGGGCTGCCACCATCCGTAGCGGCTGGGGCTGCTGAGAGCTGCTGCGGCGCCCGGGTGGAGGGGGCGGGCCCGCCTCGGGGCGGGGGCGCTGGATTGACGGCGCGGCAGCGACCAATGGCGGCGCCGGGCGGGCTGGTGGGCGGGAGCCGCCCCTAAAGGGGCGGTGTGAGCAGGAGGCCAGGCCGGGAGCGCGAAGGAGGGAGGCCGGGGCGGGAGACGCGGGGGCGAGGGGGAGGGGAGAGGAAAAGGAGGAGACCAAAAAAAAAATAAATAAATAAATAAAAAGGCTGCGACTCTGGCGGCGCCCCATGAAATAAACAGAGGCGGAGGCGGTGGCGATCTGAGCCCACCGCAGCCCGAAGCGGGGACACGCACCTCGCCCTTCGCTTAGGCACTCGCTCCGAACTCCGCTCGGTCCTGCGGGTGCGGCCGCCCCTCCGGGCCCGGAGTCCCCGGGCCGATAGGCGAGAGAGAGGGAGCGAGCGCGCGAGCTGGAGAACACTTTTTTTTTTTGTATTGTTATTGTTTTTGAGTCCACCTCCCCCTCCTCCCCTCCTTCTCCCCTCCCACAGCCCCCCTTCTCCCCCGCCTCCTCCTCCCGCACAACTTAAAGAAAGACGGAGCTGCGCGGCAGCCTCCTTCATCTGGGGGAATTCGGGGCCGCTCGCAAGTTTACTACTCGAGGCGCAGCCAATGCCAAGCGCGGAGGACGCGGAGGGCTAAACACCGCGGCCGCCGAGCCAAACAATACCCGCCGTGCGCGGGGCGGCGCGGGCAGGGCCGCGGGGGAGGGAGCGGCCGAGCGAGCGCGCCGCGAAGAGGGCGCCCGGCCTCCGTCCGCCGCCCCCAGCGCCCCCGCCGCGGCCAGGTGGAGCCGCGGGCCCCGCTGGGCTGGGCCGCCGAACCTCCGAGGGCTCCGCGGTCCTCGCCTCGCTCGCCTGCCCGTGCCGCACGCGGCGGCGCGCTCGGGCACCTCGGCCCAGCCGCGGAGGCGACCGCATTCTGCTTGCTAGGCGCCGCTCGCGCTGCCGGGCCGCGGGGCGGGCGGACGAACGAGCGACTGAGTGCGTGCGCGCGCGAGTGCGCGCAGGGGTGGGGGCCGCGGCGCGGCGCTCGCCCCCCGCCGACCCCCCTCTCCGCTCGGTTCCCCACGCCTCCCTCCCGCTCCCTCCTCCCGCCCGCCCTCCCCTGCCCTGCCCGCCCGCCCCCGCCGCAGCTCCTTTAATACACTTTGGTTCTCCGCCTGGCTTTGGACTCTTCTCCACCACCACCTCCTCCTCCTCCTCCCGCGCCTCCTCCGCCGCCGCCGCCTCCTCCTCTTCCTCTCCGCGCCTTCGCTCCGCGCCCGGCCGCCCGAGGTACATCCAGGCGGCGGCGGAGGCGGCGGGCGCAGGAGCGCCGCTCGCGGGACTGAAGCCGCCGCCAACACCGCCGCCGCCGCCGCCGCCTGCGCTCGGAGCCGGGCGGCCGCAGGACGCAGCCCCGCGAGCGGGGCGGGAGTGGGAGCCAACGAGGCGCGGGGCTCGCCGGGGCCGGCAGGGCGGGCGGGCGCGCTGACCATGCTCCTGGACGCGGGGCCGCAGTTCCCGGCCATCGGGGTGGGCAGCTTCGCGCGCCACCATCATCATTCGGCTGCGGCGGCGGCCGCCGCGGCCGCGGAGATGCAAGACCGCGAATTGAGCCTGGCGGCGGCGCAGAACGGCTTCGTGGACTCGGCGGCCGCTCATATGGGCGCCTTCAAGCTCAACCCCGGGGCGCACGAGTTGTCCCCGGGCCAGAGCTCGGCGTTCACGTCGCAGGGCCCCGGCGCCTACCCCGGCTCCGCCGCGGCCGCCGCCGCTGCCGCCGCGCTCGGGCCGCACGCCGCGCATGTCGGCTCCTACTCCGGGCCGCCCTTCAACTCCACCCGGGACTTCCTGTTCCGCAGCCGCGGCTTTGGCGACTCGGCGCCCGGCGGCGGGCAGCACGGGCTGTTCGGGCCGGGGGCCGGCGGCCTGCACCACGCGCACTCGGACGCGCAGGGCCACCTCCTCTTCCCCGGTCTCCCGGAGCAGCACGGGCCTCACGGCTCTCAGAATGTGCTCAACGGGCAGATGCGCCTCGGGCTGCCCGGCGAGGTGTTCGGGCGCTCAGAGCAGTACCGCCAGGTGGCCAGCCCGCGGACCGACCCCTACTCGGCGGCGCAGCTCCACAACCAGTACGGCCCCATGAATATGAACATGGGGATGAACATGGCAGCGGCCGCGGCCCACCACCACCACCACCACCACCACCCTGGTGCCTTTTTCCGCTACATGCGGCAGCAGTGCATCAAGCAAGAGCTCATCTGCAAGTGGATCGACCCAGAGCAGCTGAGCAACCCGAAGAAGAGCTGCAACAAAACTTTCAGCACCATGCACGAGCTGGTGACCCACGTCTCGGTGGAGCACGTCGGTGGCCCGGAGCAGAGCAACCACGTCTGCTTCTGGGAGGAGTGTCCGCGCGAGGGCAAGCCCTTCAAGGCCAAATACAAACTGGTCAACCACATCCGCGTGCACACCGGCGAGAAGCCCTTCCCCTGCCCCTTCCCGGGCTGCGGCAAGGTGTTCGCGCGCTCCGAGAACCTCAAGATCCACAAAAGGACCCACACAGGTAACCGCGCGGGTCGGGGTCGGGACGCAGAAGAGGGAGAGGCCGTGGTTAGCTGGCTGGGAGAAACGCGCCGACCGCCAGCCCCTGCCCTGGAACGGGAGATGTTTTCGTGTGTGCGAGAGAGAGCCAGCGGCTTGTTATTGTTGGCGAATGAAATAATATTATTATTGGGCTGGGTTTTTTCCATGTGCGGAAATTTAGTTTTAAATGATCAAATGCATGCTTCGGGTGATGCAACTGCTTCGTTGGCTCAGCTTCGGTGAATAATTTCCGTTCTAAACAGAACGGAGAAAATAAAAGTACCCTCCAACTCGGTGCCCGGGAATCGAGCCTAGAGAGGATTTTGCCAGCTTGTCTGAATGTGCTTTTCTGCTCCGGGTGTGCGTCTGCGTTTTGAGTGGCTTGTGTGTTTTTCCACTTTTTTTTTTTTTTTAAGCTACGGGCCCAAACGTCCTTACCCGGACTGTTTCCCATTAAAAAATGAGTCTGGTGTGAGCCGAAGCTGTAAAGCGTTTCTCGTTTTTAAAGTGTTTTTAAAGCCCATCTCGAGGTGGGTCGCGGAGCTTTACGGTGGGTTCGCAGTAGTCTGTGAAATTCTCTTAAGGGGCACCAGAGGGTTTGCGATTCCAAACTTGGACCGACAGCCGGGTCAACGAGAGCCCGGGGCGGCGCGGCCCCGCGGGGCAGTCGCGTGAGAAGAGAGCACCGAGAAAGAACGCGCCTCTCGCCTCATAGATTATTCATCTATGACTAGGTCCCAGCCAAAATCGTGCCAGACGATTTCCTAAAAGAAAGCCAAATGTTTTAGCAACTTCCCCCGTCAATATTTACCCCGAAGTGGGGGTGCGCCAGCGGCCTATTGTTCTCTTCCGGGAAGGGAGGCAGCGGAGGTGCGAGACAAGCTTTTAACAAGGTTTAAAATTTGAGAAATTTATTTGCATGAAATGCTCGCTTTCGAGTCCTGCGTCTGAGCGGATGTCTTTAAGAAACAATTTAGGTGCTAATGGAATTTAACGTTAAATGGTCCCCTCTCCTAGTGGAACAATGTTGGAGTTCTCACACCTCTAAATGACTCCAAGCATTTGGAATTCTGGCAACAGGATGCGGGGACCGCCAGAAAATTCAAACAGGGAGATTCTGAAAGCCTTGGCTGATCCCCCCACCCCCACGGCCCAGCCTGCGCCTCTCTGCAATCTCTCTCAAGTGCTGCCTTATCTCATATTTATCTCTTCCCCCCAACTTGTCTTTAAAAGGCTGGGAGTACGACCGAGAATTACTGGTTAATTCAATTTGCAGAATTTTGGATGGAAAAAAAAAAATTGCTGGCTCAGTCGCTATCCACAGTACGGTCCCCAAACAACACACAGCATCTCCAAATGTAATTGCCTACTGGCCCCAGAGAGAAGCCGACAGCAGCCTGTGTGATTCTGATAATGCCCCAAATATTTTGTCATAATAACAGCTTCTCCATGGCGAGACCAACTTGTTAGAAGCCGCGAGTCCAAGAAGCCCTGTAAGAAAAGCAGTCAGGCGGGGCTGGGGTTGAGGGGGTGGGGGCTACCCCAACTTGGTCAGAGATGTGAGGAAACGCGAGTCAGCCTGGAAGAAAAGTAAAATAGGAAATAGAAGCACGGCGGTCAGGTGGGAAGGCGCAAGGAGCCCCAGGCCCTTTCGCTCCTCTTTCTTCCTCCCGGAGGCCTGGTCCCCTTCCAGGCCGAGAGGTGGGGTGGGAGGTGAGGGTTCCCGGGGGTCTCCGGGCGCGCCGGCAGCCAGCGCGCGTGCTCGTGTTCACAGGGGAGAAGCCGTTCCAGTGTGAGTTCGAGGGCTGTGACCGGCGCTTCGCCAACAGCAGCGACAGGAAGAAGCACATGCACGTGCACACGTCGGATAAGCCCTACCTGTGCAAGATGTGTGACAAGTCGTACACGCACCCCAGCTCCCTGCGGAAGCACATGAAGGTACCGCCGGGCAGGCGCGAGGAGGGAGAGGCGGCCGGGCTCGCCGCCGGCCCCGGGGTGGCGGGGGAGGCCGGGGGTGCCCGCGGGCCCCGGGGAGGGCTGGGGCGGCCCGGCGCCGCAGCAGCTGCACTCACACCCAGCCCCCTTCGCTCTCCCCTCCCGGCTTCTGTCTCGCAGGTCCATGAGTCCTCCCCGCAGGGCTCCGAGTCCTCGCCGGCCGCCAGCTCCGGCTACGAGTCGTCCACGCCCCCGGGGCTGGTGTCGCCCAGCGCCGAGCCCCAGAGCAGTTCCACCCTGTCCCCGGCGGCGGCGGCGGCTGCAGCGGCGGCGGCGGCGGCGGCCGTGTCCGCGGTGCACCGGGGCGGAGGCACGGGCGGCGGCTCCGGTGGAGGCGGGGGCGGCGGCGGCGGCGGGGCGGGCGGGGGCGGCGGCGGCAGCAGCGGCTCCGGCGGGGGAAGCGGGACGGCCGGGGGCCACGGCGGCCTCTCCTCCAACTTCAATGAATGGTACGTGTGAGAGGCCAGGGCGGGGCTGCCTGGGTTCCTCACCCGGTAACAGCGCCTAGAGCACCCCGGTGATCGCTGTTAAAATTCCCAATCTGATTTTTATGATGATGAAAATGATTTTAACCAGCAGAAGGATTTTTTAAAGTTTTTTTTTTTTTAAATAATCTAGGCATGAAAAGCAATGATATCCCTTCTGGAATCTTTAAAGCTAAAAATATAAAATAAATAAAAAATAAAAAATCCTTTAAAAAAACCCCATAAAAATATTGAACCAAACCTCCCCTTTGCCTCCCTCCACGCCCCCTTCCCTCCCCACGCCTTTCCCAGTCTTCTGACAAGCTGTGTACATAGCGGACTCCTTTCTTCTCCGAGGTGGTTTTAATGGCTTCTTGGTGTATAGAAGTTTGTCCATTTGTAATTCTCCGGGATTTTGTTCCTCCTGCCTCTCTTCCCTTCCTTTCCCCAAGTGATGGGCTTTTTTCTTTTTCTCTTTTTAGTTTCCCTGGTTTCTTTTTAAGTAATGTGGAAGAAAATGGTTTCTTTTGTATTGTGGTATTGAATATTGTGTTCCTTTTTATGAGGCAACTTGATTGTAAACTTCATGCAACTATAGACTGGAAAGAAAAAAAAAAAACAAAGCCGTGCCAAAGTCTCCCTTCTGTTTCTTCAACACGCAGATCCACAGCACTCACATCCACATCACCACCACCAACGCTTGTGAATGTATTTTTCTGTTAGCTGGGTTTACATGTGATGTTTTAGTGCTTTTGCAAGTTCAATTTGTTAGTTCCTGTACGAAAGATTGTGGGGAGGGGGGGGAGTAAACGTCGTGCCGTTAGCTTTTTCCGTAATAACACCCTTCCTTCTGTAAATACCCGTTACCATATTTATCCATTTGTAATTAAATTATGGTATTAACTTGCTACAGAGGAAACAATATTTATAAAGAATGTTTCTTAACTATAAATATGTACAATTGTGGGCATAAACTGTTTCAGATTTTTTATTTGAAGGTTTTAAGTGGTTTGATCATTTCTTGTGATATGTTTTGAGAGTAATGCATACAGAAATATAATAAAATGTGTTGAAACTGCATGAACATAATTATTTTTTTTTTTAAGCCAAGTTATTCAAGGAAATGGGCAGGAGGCAGCGGAGGGCTGATAGGGGTCTGGGTCAGCTGCCTGATTGAATGGGAGGCACCAACCTCGAATTCAGGGGGGAAGGTGTATGCCGAGAAACTGGGCCAAACTGCCCCCCTGGCAGAAAGTCTCAAAATTATTTTGTATGTCCTTTGTTTCTGTAGCTGAGAGTGAATTACATTTTTGGAAAGCCCCTGTGAGGACCGGCCTGCAGGAACCTTCGGAGCTTCTAATGGCTCCATTATCTGAGGCGGTGCCTTTCTTTCTGCTGTTTGGACTGGATTGAAGAGCGCTAACCATTTCCTTATTCTTTGTTTTCTGTCTTCCCTGCCCCCTTTCCTCTCCCTCCCTCTGAAAAGCTGAGGTACAGTTATTTTTAATTGCATGTTTAAAACTGAGCTGAGTCCTTTGTTTTTGAACTTGGTTCAATGATGATTATAGTTTAAGGGCCCCTTTCTACTAAGTTTTTTTTTTTCCCCTTCCTTGAAATTTTAAACAGCTTGCTCAAGGCATCCTGCTTATCTGCCCAGCTACCGCTCACCCATAAGTGTGATGTTCAAGGGAGGAAGGTGACACATAGACTACACTTTGATTTAGGAAAACCACCAACCATCGGCCCCCAGTAAAAGAGAACCTCTTCAAGAATTCCGTGAAATCAAATAGAATAAGCTGCAGAGATGGAACCGGCCAGGTGGAAGTGAGTGAGGCAACAGGAGCGACCACCAGCTTTTCTCTTAAGGTTTGCAGCCTCACTCCCCTCCCCTGCAAGAGTTTCACAAGAGTTTTCAAACAAGATGCTCTAAGGGAGAAGGCAAAAATAACATTCAGAGTCAAAGGGTAGGAGTGGAGTCATTTCTTTTTGAAATCCCCGAGGCTTCAGGACATTCCCATCTTTCCTGGGGATCCGTGTTGCTCAGAGAGGCCCTGGCAGGCCCGGAGTCACCACCCAGTGGTGAAAACGCTTCGGGGGGTGGGGGGCGCGGCAACAACCCCAGAGGATCACCTAGCGGTGAGCAGGGCTCCGCTGTCTGAAGCTTCTGCTGCTGGCGATGGGCCGCCTCTCCTGCTCTGGCCCTGGGCTTAGCCGCGGGGACAGGCCGGGGAGGCTGAAGGGCCGCTTAGGGAGAAGGGCAACTCTGACCTCCCAGAGGCCATGCTACCTATTAAATAGGGAAGGAAAGATGGTAGCCTGGGTGTCTGTGTGTCCTGGAGGGCGACAGTGGCCACCAGGCTAGCCCTCCCCAGTGGCCCAGCAAACGTTTTGCTTACGCGCCAGGTCCTGAAGAAATCAACCCCCTATTAAAATCAAATTTATAACCCCTAATAATATTAAGGAAAATTATTAAAATAATTGGCATATGTTACTGATCCTTGGGAGATTTCACTGAACACATTGTAAGCTGTGAGGAAAACGTGTAGTTTTTTCAATGCCCCTATCCCTGGGGGAGGGGGTGCACGCATCAGATTAAATATTCATCATAACTTGTGCAAGAATGAGATGGTTGATTTTAGATGTTTTAATGTTTTAGGCTTTTTTTTTTTTTTTTGGTGGGAATTATTGGCTTTGAGACACCTCCCAAACCTAAGGAGAAGGTTGGTGGAATGGTGCTTTTTTTTTTCTTTTTTAAGTATCAACTTGAGGCCTTGGATTTTCCCCTTTGGGGGAAGAAGGAAGGCCGGAGAAGAGGACAGTATCCCAGCTTTGCGTTGGCCGTATCGCTTTCCAGAGCTGAGGTCAGAGAGCTACCGGCGGCCTTTTGGGTCTGGGGGCACTGATGCTGGTTGTCAGCAGGAAATAAAACTGGGAAGGGGCCTGGCCCCAAGGAGGACCACAGCCCGGGATTGGTCTCCTGGTCCATCTTAGGATGTGAGGGGCGGAGGGGGGCGGCTTTCCAACGAAACATCCCTCGGTTCTCCAGCCCTTGTGTCCCACCGCTCTGTCCAGACAAGTCACAGACCTGACGGTGGGGCCGGGTCTCGGCCTTTCACGTCGGCCCTACGCGTCCCGGACACTGGATGGGGGAGAGGGATACTCAGGGTGTGAGAGCATCAGAGATGGGCGCCGGGGGCAGGCCTCCCAAGATCCTGCGTGTCCCCGAGGTACCTGGGTTTGGGGTGGAGGAGGGGTGCAGGCGCCCTCACCCCTCCCCTGCCTAAACGGACCCGAATCTAACCTGCCCTCGCCTGGCCTCCGGAACCACCGAACAGAGCCCAGTCTCTGCGTCCCCTCAGGGGAACCAGAGCTGCACCCGTGGCTCTCTGCCCGCAGGGACCGGGTCAGGGGCTGGGGTGGGGTGGGGGACACGTTTCTGCGAGTCAACGCCGTCAACTTGAACTTAAGATCTCCCAAACTCGCTCCCTTGCGGCAGCGCTCCATCCACCACCACCGAGTAAAACTCGGTGCCACGCGAGACTCGCTTTATCTGAAGGCAGCTGCAGCCCCCTCGGGAGAAACCCATCGTTATTATTATTAATTATCGTGATCCTCACTGCATTATTAACGACCACAGTGATAACTGGCATCTCGGCATCTGTATCTCCTGGTTCAGTGATGGGACATCAAGCTCCGGTGGCTGCGGGGGAGGTCGGTGCTGGGGGGAGGGCAAAGGCCCGGGTGGGGTCTTCTCCGGCCAGAAGGAAGCAGGTCACAGGTCCAGCAGACCCTGTCCCACGCTGTCCGCGCAACGCTTTCCTTTCTCGGTGGCACCTTCTCTCTTCCTCCCCCCTCCGGCCCCCACCCGGTCCCTTTGTCTCTTTCTCGGACGGATGTTTTCTGTCTCAAGTGGCGTGTGTATTTTCCGCCCAAAACTGAGATCAAGGGCAGATCCTAGGCTGGACCGGAGATTCGGGTTTCCCTGGGCTCCCTGCTGTCCTCCCGAGACCTGGGGTGGGCTAGGAGGCCCCGGGCTTTCCAGGCGACCCGTGGTCCTCCCGGGTGGGCGGGCCTGGCATTGGGAGGGGGTTCTGGTAGGTGCTTGATGAGCGCCGCCGGTGGCACAGCGGGACCCGAGGGGACCCACCGAGTTCCTCTCACTAGGGACTTGGGTCCTAAACCCCCAACCCCATCAGGCCGCGTAAATAACCCAAAGGGAACGCTAGGCCTGCGTCCAAGAGCTGGGAAATAAAGGCCTCAGAATAACACCCCGCCAAGACTCCGGTCGAACCATGGGATGCATTTTCACTTTAAGGGACACGTGCCCCGGAAAGCGACCCTCGAGATCCAAAGTAGGCGTTCAATAAATACTTGCCGATTGATGGATCAGAGTTTGGTATCGCTCGTGTTCCGCGGGAACTTGGAGCGCCTGGGCCCACAGCTACCCCCAGCAGACCGCAATGAATGGTTTCTATTTTTAACTGGCAGCTCAGAACAGGGCCTGAGAAATGTCTCCCTCTTTTCTACCCTCCTCCACCCCACCCCACCCCCACCCCAACCCCAACCAGGCCTCCAGCAGATTGTTGCTGGGTTTTTTCTTTTAGGGAAGAATCTAATCTAGACCCTTCCAGACTGAATCGGGGGATCTGGCATAAACCCTCACGCACGTCCAGCTGGGCTCCTGAGAACGAAAAGGCAGCGCTGGGCAATCTGAACGGGGTGTTATCAACGAGAGCTTCTGCAAACCAGAACCCCGGCAGCCCGAGGGTTCGAGTTCACGGTGAAGGTGGTGGGGCGACTGGGACGGCAGCGTCCACGCCCCGCCCCGCCCCTGCGCGGCCACAGCCCAGATCTCGGGCGGGGTACCCGGGGGCTCAGGTCCTCCCGCTTCCGCCCCGCCCCCGCAGGGTCCAGTCGGGGAAAGGTCGGTGCTGGGGCCCCCTCTTTGCCCTCGCAAGTTTCCGTTTTTTGTTTACAGGGGTCGACGAGCTTTTG